TATATATTAAAATGCCTATATGCCTCTCCCAGATTCCATGCTCCTGCCTTCATCCCCAAATTTATCAATATCTTAAGTTTTATAATTAGAATAAAAGTTAAAAAAAATAATTTAGTACATCCTAAACAAAACAGATTACTTCTGAATACATTGACCTTTTTTATGAAAAGCATAATTCTATATATTCTTTAGCAGTCTGCTTTTTTTCCCCCTTAAAATTGGGCTTGTGAAGTTTATTTATGTTAATACACGTACCTTCAGTTCTTTCTTTCTGACTGTTAAATAGTATTCATAGTAACGATACACTATCATTTCCTCATTCATTTCCCTGTCAATAGTTCTAGTTTATCTTAAAAATTTGTTTTATTGCTATCAGTATTATTATAAACATTTTAGTACATTTTATCTAGTGCACATGTTCAAAATTTTCTCTAGAACATCTGTTTCTAGGAGATGATATTCTGAAGTTATAAGATAAGTACATCTTCAACTTTGCCGAATAATGCCAAATGATTTTCTTAAATGGTTACATATAGTTTGAATCTAATATATTCTCTGCCTGGATAATGATTATGTATTATTCTATGTTGCTTTGCTTCTTGATTTATTTCCTTGGGTTATCTCTCTTTTAATCTCAATTCTGTTGCTTTATCATCTTTTCTTTAAATCCTTGTTTTATTTAATCTACATTCATTTTGACATATATCCCTTTGCACTTTTCTCATTTGATTTGATTCTTGAAATAACACTGAAGAATAGGTACTATTATTATTCCCATTTCATAGGTGAAGAAATGGATTTCCAGGAAATTATGTTTCTTGGCCACAGTCTCACAGCTTATAAGAGGAAGATACAGAACTAGCACCCAAGTCTTTCACCTCCAAAACTCTTGCTCTTTCTACTGCTTGGAGACAGACTATAATTAAGTGCCATATTGTATATTATAGCCCTAAGACTAGTTTAACTTTCAAACTGAACAGGGATAAACAACACATCTTTTACAAATATAACTCAGTGAAAAACCTCCCAAATGAGACAAGAGCAGCAGCATACCAAGTGAAATTACTGCCCTGATCTATCTTGGAACTTATTCTGGTGCCTAAAAGGATGAATTCTTCTTTTTCCAGCACCTAAAGTGTGTGTGTGTGTGTGTGTGTGTGTGTGTGTGTGTGTGTGTTAAGCAGCTGATACAAGTGACAATGCTATTGGCACAGACTTTAGAAACCCAATTTAATAATAAGAAAGCAGGATCAAAACAAGAATATGATGTGGGTTTTCTTGTGCCTTGATGGTACCTGGAAAGAAGAGCCTTTATTTGGAATCTTCTTCTATCTCAAACTCTTCGAGAAGGACCAGGTCACACAGGTAAAAGGTCATTGTGCAGCAATGAGCGTGGTGGGAGATGGAGCCTTCCTCTGTGCTAGGAGCCTTTTCCAGCACTTAGAGAGACATTTTGAAGTTTATTCCTGGAAAGGAATATCTCTACTGAGCTGCAATTTTGGAAGAATGACACATGAAGTGACGAGCCAGCAAAAAATTATCTGTACTGAGAATGTTGTAAACCAACCAAAGATGGGGGGAGACAGCAAGACTAACTGAAAAAATAGAGTGTGTCTTAACATCTGGAATTCGCTGCTCTTGTGAATCAGTCAGAGCTATTGTGGGTTGAATTTCTGTCCTGTTTTCAAATATCTTTGTCAAGGAATTATAATCAAACCTAGGATTATCAGAGAACTATTTTCATTGTTTCCTAAAGATTGATCTGTAGGAGATAAATATATATTCAATGAAAAAAACAATTGCAAAGTATTCAAGTAAATTTAGATGTCTTTGATTTAACCAAGCCAGCAGTTTTCTGCGGAATTCCTCAAAGCCACTAGTTTACTGATAGATTCTGAATTTGTGAGTGGGATATATATTATAAAGAAGTTCCAGAATTATTTGATCGTGAAGCTCTTGTATTCAAGGACTCCTGGACTTCTGGAACATATGTTGGGAAATTTTGCTTTTTTCTAATCATAAAATGTTAGAACTGGAAGGAGCCTTAAAGCAACTCCAGTTTTAAACCCTAATTTTATAAGGAGGAAAATGAAAATTTAAATGGTTAAGTGACTTCCCCAAGGCCACACAGCCCTTTGGTGGTAAAGGCCAAATTAGAATCCACATCTACAGATTCCTGATCTAGTGCTCATTGAAACTGGTCAGCAACAGATGAAGTCACAAGATGCGGTGACCTGCAGGCAGCCTTGCTGGCTCACTTCCAGGTACATCCTTCTTTACCAGTGAAAATACTGACTCAAAATTCTTTCCTGTGGAACCAAAATTGCTTTTCTGATAGCTCATAAAATTCTCTCTCTGAAACCTTATTATATATCTGAGCTTCCTGAGGGTTCAGAGTCCAAGATTATTCTCTATAAATTCTGCATATAGAGTCTATCTCACACTCGCTTAAAATATTCTCTCATATTGTTTCCTCCAGCAAAACTTAGAAAATCTTCCCTTCCAATGTCCTGTTCCAAGTTGATGAGGCTTTGGAAAGAGACAGTTTCATACACTAAGGTTGTATGAACTGCTTCACATCCCATAAACAATTTGGAAAGGGCATGAAATTTGGAAAGGGGGCCACCTTTCTGGCAGGCAATGGGCAGTGTGTATCAGAAAACTTTAGAAGTTCTTTAACTTTGAAGGAAACAGTGGGAAGTTTCTCTCAGATTTAATTACTTTATTATTTGCCAATATACTATTATAACAGTGAGAAAATTGAAATACCCTGAATGTCCAATAATAGGGAATTGGTTAAATAAATCAAGTACATCTGTGAAATACTATACAGCAGATAAAAATATGTTGTAGAACAATTCAGAGGAAGATGTTTGAAGTAGAGCTTCCCAACAAGTATGCCAGATGCTGAGATATTGATACCCTTTGCCCTCATGCCAGCTAGTCAGGGTCTAGTGTGGCCAGAGTCCCCAGCTCAAAAGACTCAAACTGCAAGCAATCTTTTCTTTCACCCAAATGTACCATAAAATTATTGGGGTTTCTATGTGTTCCGTGATATATAAAAAATATTTATAAACTGATCTAAAACACATTGCATGAAAAAATGATTATGAAGTATTATTATATTGAGATTTGACACACACTCAAGTGTTTAGTTGGAAATATAACCTGCCTATATCTGGATAATGGGAATAAAAGTGATTTTTATTTTCATGTTTTTGTTCATCTACATTTCTATTTTTTAGTGAAAAGTATTCTTTAATAAGAATAATATAATTTTAACACTTACATAGCTCATAATATTCTTTATCTTGTTTGATCCTCAAACAAATCTATGAAGCAGCCACTGCCATTATTATTTTTATTATATACCTGTTATCTTTAAATTCCAGATTTGAAGGTAATAGGAACTGGATAAGTTGATGCAGGCAGAAAGGAAAAGGTGGGAGACATATCTGAAAGGTAAAAAATAAGAAAATACAATAACTAATTGTCTTGGGGAACAACCTACGCTGTCAGGACACTGGGGATTGTGGTATCAGTGATCAAAATAGAATCTTGGAAACACAAGATTTTACAAAGATTTTAAGGACAAACTTAGAGGAATGATTAGTTTTCAAGAGGAAGCTGAATTTTGGCTCTTTGCTTTTTGATACTGAGCAGATGACAGAGCATGTTGGTTAAAATGCCCCAGATGATCGTTGGAACTCAGGTGAGAGAGTGAACCTAATGATGCAGTTTGAAGAGCCGCCCACACGGAGCCACAGTTGAATTGACAAAGCAGATGAATTGACTCTCCTGGGAAGAGAACGTAGAGGGAAAAGCAGAACAGCAAAGGCTTTAACCTTTAGGCTTCGTCTCTACAGAATTCCCTGGACATGACTTCTATGTGTGGAATGAGGATAGAGTGAAATTCCAAGAGTCCTTGTACGTGGATAAATGTTGACAATGACATGTTCAAATACTTTTCTTTGTTGTTCTTCCCTAGATCAGAGATTACTTTCTTGACTTTTAGAAAAATTTAGGTGTAAGCTCACAGGACACGTGTTGGTGAGTGGCACCCTAGAAAATAGGATTATATGTGAAAGATGCCCTAGCCATTTGAAGAAGTGATCAGAAATTGAGATGGTGCTACTGAATCATGACAAATGCACAGTACATTACATTTTGGATGAGCAAAGGGATCAAGCTATGAAAACACCAAATATAAATACAGTGAGCAAAGATCTCAAAATCTCAGGGAACAGCAGCTTGAAAAGGAATGTGCTGGTGCATGTAACATGTTTATTAACACATTTTTTCTGGCAGTATAAAGACATAAATGTAATAATTTAATAACTTTGACATATTTGGCATTAAGAAAAATATATTAGAAATTTAATAATTGTATTTCTCTTCAGGGTCCTTCTTTCAAAAGAGTTCAAAGTTATTAAACAGACTATAGAGGCCATCAAAGAAAATACATGACTGTAAAAATGTACTTCTAAAGAAAGCTTAGTGAACATGGTATTATTTATTTTTGAAATCAAAGGAACAAGGAATAATTTAATAAGAATCAGGATTGTTAATTTGTAGATTATTGTATAGAGTCGTTGACAATTTCATTGCAAGTAGAACAATGGGAAATAAGCTAAAGCCATTAATAATAATAAACAAAAGCCCTCCCAAATACATACATACACAGACCACACATATAAATGTATATGTGAATGTTTGTGTAAAGAGTCTGGAAGAGCATACACGAAAATAGTTATTTCTATGTAGTAGGATTATAGGTGTTTTTATTTGTTTCTTATCTCTATCTTTAAAATTATCTATAATAACCATGCAATAGTTGTGAGGTTAGAAAAATAAGTTATTTTTCTTTAGAAGTGTTCTAGAAACAAATATGTCATTTCCTTCTGTTTCCTATCACATTCTCAACCCATCATTTATAAAACTTATTTTCCATAAGATTCTTAATAACAATAGTTCTGGTAACCCTATGTTATCTTTTTCAGATGCTAGTGAAAAATAACCACCTTTCAGACAAGATCATTGTTATGCCAGGAAAAATTGAAGAAATCTCACTTCCTGAGGCTGTAGATGTGATAATTTCTGAACCAATGGGATACATGCTCTTCAGTGAAAGGATGCTGGAGAGTTACCTTCATTCCAAACAATGGCTAAAATCAAATGGTGAGTTGACCAGTTTCTGGGTTTAGAAAACAGGCTAATTTCCCCGTAAAAGTTTGGCACCCTCTTTCCCCTGCATTTGATTCTGTATAGAAAGGGGGGAAGATTTCTACTGCACTTAATTATTTGGTTCTCTCATCTCTCTCATCCATGACAAATTAGCTAGTCTCCAGCCATGAGAACGCAGGTGTGCCGCATAGTATTCAATAAGGTATAGAGGGATAGGTCAGAGTTCTGTGTTTTTGTCCTGATTCTATCACTTTCTTCCTTAATGAACTTGGTTAACCCTTGACCTTTTGGCTTTGGTTTTCTTATTTGTATAATGATATATTAATATAAATCATCTCTAAAGCCCTTTTAAGAGTTGGCCTTCTAGAATGTGAGAAACTCTCTGGAGTTCACTTGTTCTTTTTTCATATTTTTTTCCTACTGTATTTTCTTCCCCATGAGCACTACATACAGTTGAGATAATATTAAATTCAATATTCTTTTTGTGCTTACCAACTGACTGCAAGTGCTAAGCAATTTCAATAAACTATTTTACAAAATCCTTACAAAGTCTGAATGATGACATTTTCCAGTTTATTTGAGGGTTAGCACTGAGGTTCTCAGTAATTTTGCATCCTTCCCTAAAGGACATTTGGCAATGTCTGGAGACACTTCTGGTTGTCACAGTGGCAGCGGGGGTGCTACTGGATAATGGCATTTAGTTGATAATAGGCAGGTATGCTGTGAAACACCCTTCAGTGCACAGGATGGCCCCTACATCAAAGAATTTTCCAGCCCAAAGTGTCAATAGAGCGAGAGTAAGACCTGGCTTAGCAGGAAGCACTTCTATGATCCCAGTTTATAAGAGAAAGCTCAGACTCACTGCAGGAAAGCAACTTGGCAAGAACACACGTCTAATAAGTGACAGAGCAGGGATCTGAACCCAGGTCTATCTAACACTGAAGCCCACACTCACAACCCCTGCGCACACACTAACTTTCTACTCTCCTCAGAGAGGGTGAACACGTTCCAACAGAGTATTTTTTTCAGTTAAGGTATAGACGTAACTGGCCGCTTTTAAAAGTTGCATCTCTGATGAGAATTTTAGCTCTGTACCTCAATTTTATTTACTTTAAATTATCAATGTTGTAGATCCCTACCTGGATATCCGATGAAGGCAAAATAGTGAACAGTGCAACTCATACAGACCAAGTTATGCAGTATATGCACGTAAGTGGAGTTTAAAGCTTGTCTATAATTTCCTACACCCTTCAAAATTTAGGGGTTCCAAAATAGGCACTAAAAAATTCTCATGGAAAAATAAATAAATGAGCTCAGGCACAGTATACCTAATGTCAAGAACTTCATTAGCGATCCTGTTGTAAATGGCCCAGGATGCGCTTGGAAGCCTTGTGTGCAGGGGATTAAATCTGTGGGAGATGGAAATGAAGAAACAAAGCAGCTCCTCAATCCCCCAGGAAGAATTTTTATTTTTATTTTTTTAGATTTTTTTCAGATGGTTAGGTGCTTTTGTACGATGAGATTTTAAACATAGTTAATTAACGTGCATGTGTCGAGCCCCTCTTAAGCTGAATAGTTAGACTTAATATCTGAGCATCATTTTTCCTCTAGATTTTTCAAATGGAGATGTAATTTTATATGGGGCTGTGTATCTCAAACTACACAAGTAGAAATGAATGCCGGTTTTTTCCGCTTTCTAACCAGTGTGCTCTTGAGGGAAGGGTGATTGATTTTTATTCTAATTATTTTTATTTTCCATCAAAATAAGACATAGTTTAAAACATCAAATAATAATAAAAAGGCTTATAATGAAAAATAGTAGCCCTCTGCCACACCTCTACCTATCCTCAGACTTCTCCTCAAGGGCAATGACTTTCAACTCTCCGTGCTCTTTCTTCTATTATTTACGTACATATTTTTATATAAAATTGTTATATTGTTATTCCGGTCACTCTCTGCTTGAGAATTTAACTTTCCTGCATAGCAGTTTCTTGATGCGTCCTCCCACCCCCATTTTCTCTATATTTATACAGGTTCTTAATGCCATTCTCAAACCCTTGGGGCCAGATGTGTTTCTGAATTCAGAATCTGGAGGACTTTAGACAGTTCATACGATCATATACCATTAGTACTTAACGCCCCCAGTGGGACCCGAGGCAACACTCCAAAATGAAACACACATTTCTGCAACAAAACCTATGAATATTGATACTAAGTGGAATAAATAAAGACTAAAAATAGACTCATGTCAATTCAGGTCAGATTTTGCCATCGAATGATATTGCTGCAAACTTACAAAAATCTGCTGCTTTTCAGAGCTTTTTGGATTCCAGAATTTAGGGTAATAGAATATGGACCTAGATTATTATTTGGTTAAATCAATAATCAATGTTTATATTATTATGACATTGTAAACATTGTTCAGAGCTGAGTCAGGTGCACTATGATTATCTTTATTTTTTCATGTAATCTTTTGTTTTTCCTGGAGTTAATTGCCTTGTGTTTTCATTAGTTTGGTTTTCATATATTCATGGCTAAATGTTTATTTTATTTTATTTTATTTTATTTTGTCACTATACAATGTGGTTGATTATTGTGGCCAATTACCGAAAATGGCTAAGTGTTTCTGTGCTGCAATAGATCTGGCAGATGCCTTCCAGTATTTATTCTGTGGAAGCTTCCCCCATTTCTTTCTTCTATGCTGTAGTCCCGTGTCCTCCTCCAGGCATGAACTACTCACCAGCACTATTGCATGGCTACTATGACTTTCTGTCATTATTTGTCTGTCTTCTCTTTCTTGGTTTACATCATTATTTTAGCAAAGGATATTCTCTAACAGCTTCTGGAGAAAGGGTATTTGAGAAGTCACTTTTTAATGAGTCCTTGTATTATTATTGACTGGGTCAGGAATTTAACTTAAAAACAGTTTTTACTTGGGGCCGGTCCGGTGGCACACTGCTACAGTGCGCCGCTTGGGAGTGTGACGACGCTCCCGCCGAGGGTTCGGATCCCACATACAGACCAGTTCCCGCTCACTGGCTGAGCGAGGTGCGGAAGCAACACCAAGGGTTGCAATCCCGTTGCCGGTCCCGGTCCGGTACGGGCGCGACACTGAGGGTTGCGATCCGTTGCCGGACACGGAAAAAGACAAAAAGGAAAAAAAAAAACAGTTTTTACTCAATATTTTCAAAGCTTTATTTTTTTTGGTTTCTGGCTTCAATATTGTTATTGAGAAGTCCAATACCATTCTAACTCTTGATCCTTGAGAATGACAGTTTTTCCCTTCTGGACACTTTTAATATCTTCTCTTTATTTCTAATGTTCTTGGTGTGAATCTTTTTAAATTATTGTGCTGAACATGCAGTAAATATGTCTAATCAGACTCATTTTTTTTTTCAGTTCTTGGAATTTTTCTTATATTTTACTTTTGATGATTTCCTCGCTTCCATTATCTGACATCCTTGGAATTCCTGTTAGGGTTGGGGCTCACAACATCCTTCTCTGAGGCTTTCCAAGTTTACACAAACAATGACACATGTTAACTTTCTAAGGTTGATTAATATCCTTCTATCTTATAATTAAAAACCCACTGAGTTTTTCAATTGGTTGGGTGTTTTGACACTAACACATGGGATTTAGATGGGAACATATGAATAATGTTACAATTGTGCTTTGTCTCTGACATCTTTGAAAATATCCCAAATAAAACGATCTGTTCTATTTTAACAGACCTGGAGGGCAGCCTAGTTAAAATATGGGCACTGACTATCAGATGAGATTCCACTCCTTGGATTTTGCTCTTCCATTTATTATTTCTGTGATCTTGGCTGAGTCACTTAAATTTCCATGTTCCTTGGTTTCTTCATTTATAAAATGGGTATTATAATAGAACCTGCTTTATATTGTTATGAGGATGAAATGAATTAATACATGAGAAGCCCATAGAAAAATACATGGTAGAGTTAACATAATCAAGAAATTTTTGCTATAATTATTATTATTATTATTATTTATTTTATGATATTGCCTCTGTTTTATGACTTTTTTAGGCCACCCTTATTTCTGAAATATAGTTAATAGTTTATGCTTTTTTAATGTGCAATTTAATAAATGATAATGAAAAAGATTCTCCCTGAAATTATTAGAATAATAATGCTGATCATCAGGTGGCATGCCAGTCTAAGTGCTCTTTTGCCCTCTAAAGAAAATCTGCCTTTCCTGTGGTGACTGTATATGCCAGGAACAAAGCCCAAGTGCATAATTCCCAGCATCGAGGATGGTCAGCATCCATACAGCACATGCATACATGTCTGATTACACATGTGCAAAGTCTGAGAGTGAAAATAATAAAGGGATGATGAGATTTTGATTGTCTTCAAAGCTAAGTTGTGTTTACAGTAAGTAGATAGATGAATGAATGAATGAATGAATGAATGGAAGTACCCAGAATTGCAAACACAGGACATACAGAAAGGAAAAAAAAAAAAAAAAAAACAGTACCTGAGAAGGCGACTGTGCCAGGTTAAATGCCTCACCTAGGCTGTGCAAGCTTTTGTCATCACATAGCTTTGTGAATTGCTTTGGTATTCTTTTCTATATCTCCTCCAATTTTATGCCTAATTTTCTTATCCTTGCTTTGAGACAAAATTATATTTTATCCTGTTGTGTAAAACTGAAATAAAATTAAAGAACAGAATTGGTCTCAGGTGGCAGGTGAGTGTCCCCTTCAGTCAGAAGGCTGCAGGAGTCAACCTCTGGGTCTGTTGTCTTTACTCATTAGGAATGATGTTCCTGACCTTCGGCGACGTCCACTTGGCCCCCTTTTCTGATGAACAGCCCTACGTGGAAAACTACTCTAGAGCCAACTTTTGGTAATGTTCTTTTCTCTCTCGTCTTTCTTTTCCTTCAGAGTAAATCAGTTCCTAAAACTATTAATATTTTGGATGAGATGATGTTGGGGCTGTTGTGCATTGTGGGATGTTCAGCAGCAACCCTGGCCTCTACCTATTAAATGCCAGTGACACCTTCTCTTTAGAGCTGTGACCACCCAAAATATATCCAGACATTACCAAGTGTCCCCTTAGGGGCAAAATCACCCACAGTTGAGAACCACTACTCACAAATCAGAAACAAACACATTAGGGAGCTGCGTATGCAATGTCAAACATCCAGAAGGCTACCCTGCTGCAGAAATGACAGCATTCTCCCCCTGCCTGCAGTCTCTCCCTTTTCACTTTTCACCATCCAGTTCTTTGACTCAGGGCTGTAGCTTCTGTTAGAATGTGCCTTTGACAGAGAACAGATCATTCAATTCACCTCCATGTAAATGAGTTGATCCAATTCTTCTGGAGTTTTCCCAAATCTCTTTGGAGTTTTAATTGACTGTTGGCTTTGGGGCAATTCACTTTACCCCTCTGAGACTCAGTTTCTTCATTTGTAAAACGTGAACTAATACAAAACCCCTGCCAGTTCTACATCACCATTCCTTCTGGGTTTCTTTTCCAAAAATTGTTTTATATAAGGAGAAGGAGGGAAGGAGAATGACAATATGGGACCCATGGGAGGGAGAAAGAGCAGAGATCATCCGTGTGGGAATGTTCCATGTGTTCCAGGTGTGTGCTGCAGGTGGGCGAGGGTAGATGCTCAAAGTTAGGACCTTCTAATACACAAATGTCCAAAGTTGATTTCTGGACTTTTCTCTTTGTAATCCTGGTGAAGGGACAGCAAATACGAGGTGCTTTGGTTTCCTGGATTACAAAATTCTTTGAGGTGTGGGATCAAAGAGCTAAAGGTTTTCTTTCTCCCTAATTTTTCCTTGCAAAATAGGCTTTCCTACCACAGACTCATAATGTTTCATGGTTTTGCTCAATCTGTAATTCCGAGATTCCAAGCCACAGACTTTCAGATGGGAGTGCATGGCTTTTTGGTGCATACATATGTGGGTGGCGTGGGGGACAGGGAGGCGTGCTTACCTTCATAATGAGCATTGCTCTCTGAGATTTTGCTGACCCTAGATGTCTGTATTTTAAATGTGACCTCCTGAGCCAATGGAGAGGCTGAAGAATTAGGAATTTTAGGCAGCAGAGTAGATGAGACCAACAAAGTAGAGGTTTGTTGTCCAGGCAGTCCTTGGGTGACCTCCCAAGCATACTGTCTGCTCCCATCTTATTACCTTGAGGATGTTCATGATCACAGGAGGTTGGCTTGGATCCCCATCAGTATACAAACATGCTGCTTCTTATTCTATCTAAAAAAACAAAAACAAAAACAAAAAGCCAACCTTCTCTATACCTCACTTTTCCAGTCAGGTATGCCCATCTCTCCAAGACACTTTGCAGCCAGAGTTTTCAAAGGATCATCTATACTCACAGTCTCCAATGCTCCCCTTCAAGTTCTCACATGAGCCATTTCTGCAAAATCACTCATATCAAGGTCACCATATCTCTACATTGCTAAATCCAGTGATCAACTCTCAGTTCTTAACTTACTTACCAGCAGCATTTGAAACACTCTTTTGCCCCCCCACCCCACTCTTTTGATTTTTCTGCTATCTTTCTGGTCACTTTCTCAACCAGGCTTCCCTGGTAGTAACTTGTCTCCTTAAGCTGCTTGTATTGTAGTGCACCAGGACACAGTCTTCAGACCTTTTCTCTGTCCACAGTTACTCCCTTGGTGAGTTTACCCATTCCCGTGGCTTCAAATACCATCCATATGCTAATAATTTCCAAGTGTATAACTCCAGCCCAGACTTGTCCTCCCAACTCTGTATTTTCGTAGCCAGTTGCCTCCTGGACATCTCCCCTTGCAGAGACTTCCCATGTCCAAATTTCAACTCCTGGTCTCCCTACTCCCACCCAAAACTTGTTCTACTCAGTCTTCTTGTCTCAGTTGATGACAACTCTTTCCTCCCCATCATTCAGGCCAAAAACCCTATAGGCCTCTCTTTCTTTACCCCCATATCCAAAGCACAAAGAAATTCTATTGGTTCTACTTTCAAAATATATCCAGAATCTGACCAATTCTCACTATATTCACTGTTCTCCCTTGATCCCAGTACCATCATCTCTCAGCTAGATTACTGCCATAGCTCCTTAACCTGTCTGTTCTCGGCATAGCTAGAGCCTTACAGTAGCTTCTACCCAGTCTGGCTCATTTCTCTCTGACCTCATCTCCTACTACCACGTTCATTCAGCTCCAGCCACACAGACCTCCATGCAGACCCTCAGACACATCAGACACGCTCCTACCTTAGGGCCCTCGTAATTACTGATCTTCCCACCTGCAATATTTTTTCCCCAGTATTCACATGGTTAATCCCTTCATCTCCGTAAAGTCTTTGTCAAGTGTCACCTTCTCAGTGAGTCCTACCCTGACTATCATATTGTAAATTGTCACCATACCACTTCTAACCTCTCTTTTTCTATTCTGTGTTTTTCCCCTAGCATTAATCACCTCCCAAACGACATATAATTCCTTTCTTTATTATTATCTATTGTCTATACCCTTCCTGATAGAATGCAAGCTCCACCAGGGTAGGGATTCTGCCAGTTTTCACTGATATATCCCAGGCACCCAGAACAGTGCCTGCCACATGGTAGGCCCTCAATAAATACTTTTAGTAGGAGAGAACAGAATTGTGGTTACTAGAGGTGGAAAAGGGGAGGGAAGGGGGAGTGGGACGGAGCTTAATGAGAAATTGGTTAACAGACACTAAGAATGATTATGTATTGTAATGATGAACAAGCTAACCATCCTGATGTGACCATCACACTTTGTACACAACTACTGAAAGTCAACTTTGTACCCCACATATATGTATAATAAACTATCTTAAAAATGAAAATAAAATAATAAAATTTGTAATAGCAATAAGAATAAAATTCTCTGGAGTGGGTAAAAACTCCAGTAAGCTCAAGCATATACAGAAATAATTGCTATTAAGATTTTAGTTGGTATATTTCTAATTTTTCTATTATCTTTCTTTACAAAAACAGAATCATACCCTAAGTACCATGTTAGAGCTTGATTTATTTTTTACTTTGACAGTACTTGTTTTTCTCATGTACTTAAAATATTCTTTTCCTGCAGTGTTTTTCTCATGACTATCTCATAATTTATTGATTCAAACTTCAATGTTGGATATTAAATTATTTTAATTGCTATTTTAATCCCATAAATGTTATAAGAAACAACACTCAGGTGTTGTTTTGACATTCTATAAGAATATAGAATCTTATAGGATATCCTAAATTCTTTAAGAAATAACACTGAAGTGAACATCCTTTCATAGAAATCTTGCTGTGCATTCTGATTATTTTCTTACGATAAATTGCTAAAAACAGAATTACTGGACCAAAAGGTGTGAAGAAGAAACTTATAAAAAATTTTTCTTATATATTGCCAAATTGCCCTCTAGAAAATCTTTACCAATTAACACTTCCACCAGTGGTGTACGGGAATGTCTGCTGAGTCTTGCCCATACGGGATATGCTTTTTAAAATGTCAATCTGATTTGCAAAAAAAATGGTGGCCAGTTTATTTTTAATTTGTATTTCTTTGATAGCTGGTGCATTTGAACAGTTTTATTTTTAGTCAACAAACACACACAAAAATTTTCTAAAAAATATGTAGTTATCAAAATTCACAGCCTTCACTTTCCTTCTAACTCCTCTTCCTTCATGAGGAAGGTTTCCACATTAGAAGACCAGCATTTGAGCCTTTTGTTTCTTTGATCCAGGGAACAGGTGGTGAAAGTTTGCATCATTTCTGTTGTAAGAGGCAAAGACGTGGAAATGCTGACTGGGGGGACGGGTGTGCAAAAACGAGCTCGTGTGAGTTTTGAAGAAGTGAGCTGAGAGACTGAGGAACAACCATCAGGCGAAATAAGATCATCAGACATAACCAGTTATAATCCTCACCTGACCCTCTATCAACAACACTTGACATAGTTGACACTCTCTGTACTTCTCTTCTGAAGCCTAAACCTGGTTTTCCTGCTTCCTTTCTGGCCCCTACTTCTCAGTCTCATTTGCTGATTCTTCCTCGTGACCCAAATCTTTAATGCTGGAGTGACTTCAGGTTTCATTCTTAGATGTCTTCCCCTTTCTGCCAACACCCACTTCCTAACTTGATCTCGTTTGCCTCTTGGCTGTAAATACTGTCTTTATGCTGACGACTCACACAGCAGAACTCCAGCTGAGACCTCCCCCAGAAGCACAGACTCAGATGTCCTCCTGGCTGTTAATGACTCTCCTCCAATGTCTATTGGGCATCCCAACCATTACATGTCCCAATGCAAGCTGCTGATCTTCACCATCTCTGCCCTGTCCACCCCTGCAAAACAAAAACACACAACAAAACAAAAAACCCTGAGTCTACTATAGTCCTGCAGTAGCCTCCTATTTTCTCTCTTTGAACAACAACCAAAATGCTCTTGGTGAAACATAATCCAGGTCATATTTTTCTGCTGCTTAGAACCCTCCAGTGGCTTCCCACCGTCTGCGTGGTAAAAGCCAAAGTTCTCACAGTGGATACTAGTTCCTATCCTGCTGCCCCTGTGACTTCATCTCCTACTGCTCGCTCTCGTACTCTCTCCACTCTGGCCACACTGGTGGCCTCCCTGCTTTTCCCTGAACACCCCAGGCATGCTCTCAGATCACAGGCATTTCCTCTACCTGAAAGCAGACGGCCCCGTGGCTGTTCTTCAGGCCTTTACCCACATGTCACCTTCCCAGAGAAACCTTCTGTCCATGTAAGACTGTAATCTCAAATTGATTAGCGGACACAAAGAATGATTAAGTTTTGTAATGATGAATATGCTAATTATTCTGATTTGATCATTGCACATTGTACACAGGTATTAATATTCAAC